ACATCCTACTTTGGAGAGTAGCAAATGGGATTAAGCTTGTGAGTAGCCATCTAAGGTGCAGCTATTGATCTCTCCCAAACTGGAGCAGAATGAAGAAAATCAAAGACGCAAGGAAACAATTAGTCCAAAGGACTAATGGACCATGTGAACCGCAGCCTCCACAGGGTCTTTATTAGCTATAATCTTTACAAACCTTTCTTCTGTGGTGCCACTTGGTGCGTTTGAACCAGCAACTTTTAGGTTAGTAGTTGAGTGCAAACTATTTGAGTCATCCAGAGACCTTTACTTGACCCTCAATAGAGAAGTAACTAGAGAATGATCATCTTTATACTTTCTTAAAAATAGCCTAAATTAAAATTGGCTTTTGCCAATAAGTGATATTATTTGAACCAAATTGATCTTATCATTTTTGCTGAGCCTAGTGATAAGGTCAGTTTTTAACACTCTAGAGCAATGGTCTAAAAGTATGGTCCCCTGACCACATCAGCATCCCCTGGGAATTTGCAGACTCTTATGCCCCCTCCCCAGCCACTCCTCGGAAGGAAGGTTGGGCGTTCCTACTTCCGTAGTGATACTGCCTCGGAAACCCAAGGAGGGGTCGCTATGAGTCAGGGCCGACTCGATGGCAAATAACAACAACAACAACAACATGCCCCCCTCCAGACCTACTGAAGCAGAAACTATGAAGACAGCCCAGAAATTCATTTCAAGAAACAATCCAAGAGATACTGAGGCACACTCAGGTCTGAGAACTCTGTCTTAGAGGTAGTGGTTTTAGGGAGAGGAGTAGCAGGCCTGCCAAGATGGGCACTGTATGACCTGATTATAGGATAGTAGCAGATGAATGAACAAGTTTGCATAACTTTGTTGTCTGGGCTGGGACACATTGAGATAACTGAGATGGGGGTGGGGGGAACAGAACAGAGCTCCTCAGCAAGAGGAATAACTCCCTGCTAGTCTTCATGCTTGTGGTATCATGGAAAGGAAACCCAGGCCTCCAAATCAAAATCAAACTCTGGCTTCCACATGTCCTTATTATCTAGGGGAAGTGATTCACCCATTTAAGCTTCAAGTTTCTCATCTGTAAGCAAAACTGAGGTGAGGATAATCATTTTGAGCCCTTATAAAGTCCATTAAATTAATTCTCTTTTAATCCAATCAACAACTCTGTAAAGTTGTTATTAGTAACACCATTTGACAATTAGGAAACCAAGGCACAGAGAGGTTAGAAAACTTGCCCAAGGTCACACGGCTGTGAACCCCAGGCAATCTGACTTGACAGACCTCTTCTTGACCATCTACTACAATTTAGAAGTTGTAAACCAATTACTGTGGTAAGAGATGCTTGATCGTGCCCCTTGGGCAAGCTACTTCATCTCACTAAGCCTCACTTTTCTCCCTGTATACCTGCATTTCCTACCCAGAGGACTGCTGTGAAGATCAAATAGTAATAAGGCTGACTCCTAACTCCTCAGGCCTTCCTGAGCCTTGCCTGAGCACCTGCTATAGTAGCCCCTGCCACTCAACCCCCTAAGTCACTCGCTCTCCATCCCACACCCTTTTATTTTGCTCATAGTACTTATCATACTGTATAATTATCTTGTCTGTTTAGATGTTGCTTTTCTATCCCCCATCTCCCTGAAGGCTACATACAGCCTTATCTGTCAGGGCCACTGTTATGTCCCCAGCACCCAGCACAGAGCCTGGCTCATAGTAGATGCTAAGTAAATATTGGAAAAATGACTAAACCCAAGTGTGCCTGAGAATTCTCAAGGAATATCCCTAGAGCCAGCTCACTGCCACACCTACAGTCTAAATCTCTCTGAGATGTAGGCAGGTATATCATCCACTAGTATCTTCTACATTCATCCCTAGGTAGGAAGCATGGGGTTAGAAGGTAGGGACCTTCAAACACTCACTGTGCATATGCCATGTGCTGGGCTCCAAGGGTGTATATTAAGGCAAATATAATTGAATATAAGGAGCTGTGTTGGCATAGTAGATAAGGAATTTGGCTGATAACCAGAAGGTCAGTGGTTCAAATCCACCAGCTGCTCCACAGAAGAAAGATGAGGCAATCTATTTCTGTAAAGATTTATAGCCTCGGAAACCCAATGGGGGTTGCCATGAGTCAGAACTGACTAGATGGCAGTGAGTTTGGTTTGGTTTTGGTTTATAATTGAACATGGCTCCTGCTCTCAGAGTGTTTCCATCTACTGTGGGTTTGATTGCCCCTGGAGGGAGGTTTGAGATGGCTTCCCTGAATGAAAGAACTTGTAAGTCTGAGATCTGAATAATGAAAGAGAGTTATCCAGGCAAACCACAGTGAGAATATGTTCCAGACATCCTGAAAAGCATGTGCAAAGGCCCAGTGATAGGATGGAACATTCCTTCAGTTAGCAATTATTGATGGGGAATTTCTTGTGTGCCAAATATTTCACAGGGTGAGAGCAGTGGGCAAGCAGCCTTTCTCTCTCCTCGGTAGCAGACCACCCAGTGAAAGAGACAGACACAAACCCAATGAGCACATAGATATCTCAAAAATAATGTTGACTAATATTCACTCCTTGGAAGGAAGGTTGGGCAATCTACTTCCGTAGTGATATTGCCTCGTTGGCTATGAGTCAGGTCTGACTCAAGGGCACATAACAGCAACAACAGTGTTCACTGAGTCCAGATAATGTACCAACCACTGATTCTCAAAGTAAGTTGAGATCCTCTTGGGGGATCTGTGAGGTCAAAACCACACATAGGTTCTAAATAATTTATATAGGTACTTCACCCTCAAGGAGTAGAATATAACTCCCTCTCTCCCTAAGTGTGGCCTACACACAGTGACTTTTTTCCAAAGAGTATAGTGTGGAAAAGTGGGTGGAAAGTAACTTTACAGTGGGGAAAGCTGACAAACCCCAACTCAGACAGGTGACTAGAGTTGATAAGATGTAATGAGAATGTCATTTTACTTCTGTGGTCTTCCAAAAAAAATCCTAATCACGAGAATCCTAATCATCAAAGAAATCCCAGTTGAGGGATCTTCTACCAAATACCTGAGCAGTGTTCCTCAACACTATCAATTCATAAATAATAAGGAAAGTCTGAGAAACTGTCACAGCCAAGATGATCCTAAGAGAACAATGGCAACTAAATGTAATGTGAGTGCCTGGATGGGCTCCTGGCACAGGAAAAGGACATTAGGAATAATTAGGAAATTTGAATAGAGTACTTTAGTTAAGAATAATGTGTTGATAATGATTTATAATCCATAAATATGATTTATGCATAATATATACATGTGTATAAATATATACATATATTATGTTCATATGTGTTATTGCCAGTTACCATTGAGTCAACTCTGACTTATGACCATGTACAACAGAAAGAAATGTTGCCAGTCCTGTGCCGCCATCTTCATGATCATCAGTACGTTTGAATCCATTTTGCAGTGTTTCAGTGCCTTCCAACCTAGAGGGCTCATCTTCCAACACTCTATCAAATACTATTCTCTTTTAATCCATAGGATGTTCACTGGCTGATTTTCAGAAGTAGATCACCAGGCCTTTTTTCCTAGTCTATCTTAGTCCGAAAGTTCTGTTGAAACCTGTCCATGATGAGTGACCCTAGTGGTATTTGAAATACTGACAGCATAGCACCATGGGAGCCACCACAGTATGAGAAACTGACAGATGGCTGGTGGAGATGTTAAGACATACATTACACTAATAATAGGGGAAACTACAAATGGCATATATGGGAACTCTCTATTATCTTCACAGTTTTTCTGTAAATCTAAAATGATTCTAAAATAAAAAGCTTAACAAAAAGTAAACATGCATGGGTAAAAAACTCATTCAAAGTGCAAGGTGGGACAATGGGTTTTAGTGTAATCAAGTATGAAGGTTTTATGGATAAGAGTTCAGATTCCATATTTCATCTGACTTTTGAGAAACTACTGCGTGTCGAATTTTAATGTATCAAAAAAAAAAAAAAACCAGCCAATTAAAATATGCCACTCTTCCTTTTCCAACCTCCTAAAGAAGCTCTGGTGGCATAGTGCCTAAGGCAAGTTGACTGCTAACCAGAAGGTTGGCAGTTCAAACCCACCAGCCACTCCATGGAAGGAAGGCTGGGCAATCTACGTCCATAAAGATTTACTGCCTCAGAAACCCAAAGGGGATTGCTATGAGTCGGAATCAATTCGATGGCAGTGAGTTTGCTTTGGTATCAGTGTGAAGCCAGATTTCCTTCATTTTCTTCAACCCAAACAACCTCATGCAAAAGATTGAATTCAGAGAGTGTAGCTGTCCTCTGTTAAGCCAGTCACAGTCATTAAAGAGACTTACCAAGATGTACAATAATACCACTCTTCTCACTATATGTCATTTGTTTTAGAAAATTTTATTTTTAATAACAAATATTTATGTTAACATGCTATGGGTTTTTTTATTATTATGGTTATATAAAATGAATTAATAAATAAAAACTTATGATTTTTCTCAGTTTTATCTCATGGTAAATATCACCCACAATAACTACAATTCTTTGGCATTCACAATAATTCTTAAGGGTGTAAAGGTTCCCGAGACCAAAAAGCTTGAGAATCACTGTGTTATATAAATACATAATTAAATTTAATTTAATCCTCACAACAGCTAAGCAATATTATCGCAATTTGGAAATGAAAGCTAAGGAACTCTGGTGGCATATTGTGTAAGGCTGCTAACCCCAAGGTCAGTGCTTCAAACCCACTAGCTGCTTTGTGGGAGGAAGATGAGGCAGTCTACTACCATAAAGATGTATAGCCTTAGAAACCCAATGGGGGTGGCTATGAGTTGGAACTGACTTGATAAAAATGGGTTTGGTTTTGCAGAGGGGGGTTGTAAATGAGAAAATTGAGAAACAGATATAGTAACCTGCCCAAGGTCACCCAGGAAGTAAAGTCTAGAGCTGGGATTTGAACTCATGTAATTATGTTCTCCTGACTACCTTGTGCCCTTTAGGTCTGTGAGCTCTGCAAGGGGGTGGCCCCAGCAGATAGCCCTGTGGTCTACTCGGACCGGGCAGGCTACAACAAGCAGTGGCATCCAGCCTGCTTCATGTGCACCAAGTGCTCTGAGCCGCTGGTGGACCTCATCTACTTCTGGAAGGATGGTGCACCCTGGTGTGGCCGCCATTACTGTGAGAGCCTGAGGCCCCGGTGCTCCGGTTGTGATGAGGTAAGTGGGAGGTGGGAGATAGGGGATGAACAGCAGGATGGACACCCCCATTTCTATGGGATGGAACCCCAGAGACCAAGAGGTACAGCTTCACTGATGTATTCTACAGATAGGAAAACTGAGGCTCAGTCCTCGCTTAGCTACTCCTAGCCTGTTTTCTCATCTGCAAAATGGGGCTGATATTGGACCCTTCCCCCCTTGGGATTGTTGGGATAAGTCAGGAACATAAGAAGACCTGTCAAGTACTCTCCTGGCACAAAGTAGGCATTGTACTGTCCACTACAATGTCTGGCACTAAGACCTCAGAGGAACATTATGCAAGTGTAGCCATGAGCCAGATTGCCCTCATTCAGACCCTGGCCTCTGCATTTAGTAGTCTTGTAGCTGTAGGCTGGTTGCTAACTCTTTTGCCTCAATTTTATCACTTATTAAATGGAAATGAAAATAGTACCCACCCCATGGAGTTGCTGTGAGGATAAATAAAATAACGCATAAAAATGTTTGACATAGTGCCTGACCTAGTAAATAATAAATGGGAGTTGCTTTTCATCTTATGAAAAAATTTTGTGATATTGTATCATGTCATGTTATTCAGTACTATACTATACTGAAGGAGCCCTGTTAGCTCAACAGTTACGTACTCAGCTGCTAACCGAAAGGTTGGCGGTTTGAACCTACCCAGCAGTTCAACAGGAGAAAAGATTTGAAAGATAACTCTATGGGGCAGTCCCTTCTGTCACATGTAGTCACTATGAGTTAGAATGGACTCAACAGCACCTAATAACACAAGAGCATACTATACAATAACAACACAATACATAAAATATAGTAGACATGTTACAGAAGGGGTTCAACTCTCCAGTGTGGGTTTAGACTAGAGGAGTTGTAAGATATACTAGTAATGGCAGATAATTATAACAATAATTGTTGTCTGCAAGTGTGCATCTGATGACAGGAAACTCACTATCTTTATCTTTGCCACTATGGGGTTAGAAATGTCTTCATATTGAGCCCAAATTGGTCTCTTACCCTCTTCCATGTATTAGTCTCCAAACAAAAGTAAGGCCCCTCAATCAATTCTCTTATGTGGTATCGAGCCATACTAAAAAGTAACAGTCTTTTAAAAGGACTCTCGGGAGCCTGCCCTCAAACCTTATTTTTGTGAATCTCACCATCTACTCATAGTAACCACACTCTATCATTTGCTAAAGGTTTACCACAGGTCAGCAATTTGCTACATAGTCTATGTGCATTGTGCCATTTAAATGTTATTAACAACGCTTTGTTGTTGTTGTTGTTGTTGTTATGTGCCGTCAAGTCGGACCTGACTCACAGCAACCCCTCCTTGGTTTCCAAGGCAGTATCACTACGGAAGTAGATTGCCCAACCTTCCTTCCGAGGAGGGGCTGATGGGCTTAATCGCCAGCCTTCTGGTTAGCAGTCAAGTGCCTTAGCCACTATGCTAGAGATTATCATCCTCCTCATTTTATATTTGAGAAGAATGCAGCTCAGAGAGGTCAATGACAATAATACAGCATTGACTTTGTGTCAGTCATTAGTCCAAGCCCTTCAGATGTATTAGCTCATTTAGTGTTCATAAAACTCCATGCTGCCATGGGTAGTACATCCCCATTCTGAAGCACAGGGGGAGGTTAAGTAATTTGCCCAAAGTCACAAAGCTAGTGTCTAAGTGAAGACTTAAGGAGACTGCCTCATTTTATTTTTTCTCCCACATAGCAACTGGTGGGTTTGAACCACTGATCTTTTGGTTACCAGTCAAGTATCTTAACCACTACACCACCAGAGCTACTTATCTATTCCAAAGCATCACTTTATTCCAACCCAAAGGAACCTGTATGTGCTGGCTGTTGAAAACTGACCATTGGCAGCACCTCAAGTTTGGCTCTGGTTAGGTTGTCTTCACCAAATAATCCCGTCTCAGAACACAACTAGGACTTGGATTTGGCCCAAAGATGGAAATTTTTTTTTCCAACAAAAGAAGCTAAGATATGACCACAACCTTCTGTAAATACTATACTTACTGTCTCAGATTTATGTCAGATTTCTCCTTGGAGGCACTTAAGGTCAAAACAAGAATTGGACAGGATAAATCACCATCCTACAACTTGTCCTTCGTGCACTGTCTCTACCTGGGGATAAAACCTGAGCTGTGCATTCCTTCTGCTTCCCTCCCTAGATAATATTCTCGGAGGATTATCAGCGCGTGGAAGACCTGGCCTGGCACCGAAAGCATTTTGTCTGCGAGGGATGCGAGCAGCAGTTGAGTGGCCGGGCGTACATTGTCACCAAGGGTCAGCTTCTATGCCCAACTTGCAGCAAATCCAAACGCTCCTGAAAGGTTGCCCACCCACAGCCAGAATCCACAGGATCCCACCAAGAAGGAAAGCCAGTGTGTGCTGAAGTCATCCTACAGTGCTGGCATGATAGCCAGAAAGCAATATGAACATTGATTTTAGGTTGAGTGGTGATGGATCCTGGAGGGTCACTTGTTTCAGAGCCAAAAATGTTCTAAAAAGTCTTAGGATGGAATTGTTTTTGCTTTTGTCATTATTAATGTTCCCCAGCTACAACCAACTAAAGGCACAAAACAGCATCCCACAGGGACCTCTAGGAGTCATTTCCCAGAGTGAAATTCTGAGTGATCAGATCACATAGTTGTAGAATGTACATGCTTGTTCATAAACATGGAGCTTCTCCAGCAGGAGCAGGCTGGGATCCCAACCACCACTTGTTGCCTTCTTTTTGAATGGAATCTGAATGTTAAAAAACAACTTTTTTGGCATGATAAACATATTAATAAAAGTTTTATGAATCCCACATACTCCCTTATCTAGTTATTTACACCGTGGCAGCGATTTTTATAGGACTCACTTAACTCCATGACCCTGAACACTGATGCTCGCAGAAGATACTGCAGATACTAATGATCTTCCTCAATCATGTCTCATCAGACTTCTTTTGTGAGTATAGGTTCTTGGGTCAGAATCCCCCACCTGCCAGTGTCAGATACTCCAGGTCACTGTTGGAAACGCGCATCATTTTAGCTTCATGGTTTGATGAAACCCAAAAGAGTGGTCTCCTTGGAACTAATGAGCTGTTTTTTAGCCAGGGACCAATCTCAGATCCCCCCAGAGCCCAGGCATGAGTGGAGTGTACCCCACCAACAGTACAAATGGTCAGTGTTAGAGAGCAGCCATACAGGACCCCCCAAGCCCTGCCAGAAGAAGGCAGCTTGTTCTAAGTTTCACCAGTGGGACCTATATGGTGTGACATGGAGACCAGTGTTGGCAGACCTTTAAAATTACAGGATTTTTATGAAAAATCTCAACTTTTCAATGTTTCCAATGGAACACTAAATTAGCCAAATATAACAGGTCTTTTGGGCCAGATGTGATTTCATTTATGGTCTCTCTGAGCATTTTCCAGCCCCAAAATTAGTTTTCTCCCCACAATTCCTATGAAAATACATTTATTTTTCTACTGGGGATCTAAGGACAAAAAGACATGAGTTCTAGAAGCTCATACCAGTCCAGTAACCATGACCTTCTTTCTTCCTTACCTCTTTCCCCTTTATTGCCAAATTTCTTTAATTTCACCATCCAAATTTTGCTCTCACCATCCCTTGTCTAAAATACCCCTATTTGTGTGCCTTGCAAGTGTTATCAAAGCTATTGCACTGTTTTCCTAAGGTGGCTCTCTGGTTACTGCTCCTCTCTCCAACCATCCTCAATGTCCCTGCCATATCCATCTTCTCAAAGAGAGATTTGTCATCTTCTTCCTCCAAGCTCCATGGCTCTCCAGTGACCATCAAATTAAGACTAAGTCCTCACCTGATACTTGAATTCTTCCAAAATTTGGTTTAATGGATTTCTGGCTTTAAAAACCAACATTTCACTATGTTTCTATTCCCTAGGGCAGCTGTGGTGAAATGAATTCTTTTTTTGTGGGCTTTCACCTTAGTTCTTTGGAAAAACAGCTAAAGAGATTCCCCCTAAGCCCTGAGGAATTACATTTGCCCACGTTTTCTACCTCAGAGGGTGTGTTACTTTTGCCATGTTGATTAACATTTCCTGGGTAAGCTCTTAGTTTGATACTTTTTGTCCAGTCTTAGGCTGCAGCCTGCCCTATGATTTGTATGCATCTTGCAGGATTGGTCAAGAGACTATGCAAATGAAGTGTCTGTTGCCTACTATGCACATGAAGTATAGTAGGGACTGGTAAATTCATGACCCTAGTGGGAAGGTCATGCCTTAAAACTGACATCTTCATTTAAGCAGGGAACCCCACAGAAGTTTTTCAGAAACAGAGAAAGCAGCAGGAAGAAGCAGAAGGAAGAAAGAGAAGCAGAGAGAGAAAGGAGGCAAGTAATCTCTTAAAAAAGCTAAAACACAAGTCAAGAGCCTTAACGGAAGAGACTCAGTAGCAGAGTTGTCAGTGGCAGGCCCAGAAGAGACCCTATGGAGGAGTTCAGAGAGCTGTTGTACATTGAAGAAGGGAGAATTTGCCTACGTGCTTCTTGATCCTTATTCCGAGTTGTAGCCTCTTGATCCTAATCCTAAATTGTACCCTATTACTTCCTTAATAAACCATTGAACTGTATGTAGGTTCTGCTAGTTCTATGTGGCCATTGCAGTGGATTACGGAACACAGCAGAGAAGTAGAGAATGCTGTGTGAGGGAAGGCTGCTGTCAGAATTGGTAAAAAGTTTGGTTAGTGAAAGTATGTCTGGCCTCCACCTCATAGGAATCAGCCTTTGTGCTGATGATGATTCTCATTAACTCCCCTAAAGTTAGACAGGTTCTGATGTGACTACTACTCAAATTTACAGCAGTAGTGAGTGGTTCAGTGGTAGAATACTCACCTCCTGTGAAAGAGACCTGAGTTTGATTCCAAGCCAATGCACCTAATGCACAGCTACCACCCATCTGTCAGTAAAGGCTTGTGTGTTGCTATGATATTGAACAAGATTCAGCATAGCTGCCAGATCAGGACAGACTAGGAAGAGAAGCCTGGTGGTCTTCTTCTAAAAATCAGCTGGTAAAAACCCTATGGGTCACAAGAGTCCAATCTGACAACGAGGATGGCCCAGGACCATCATTCTGTTGTATGTGAGGACACCATGAGTAGCGGGGCAACTCCACAGCAGCTAACAGCAACAAGTTTCTCCTAGAGCTTCCAATTCAGACGCTCCCCTTGATCAAGCCCTTCCCTACTGTGGTAGTTCAGTTTGTGTGTCAACTTGGCTGGGCCTGGTTGAGTGGCTGGGCAGCTGGATGTAGTATTCCCCATGATGAGACTGGTAATCAGCTCCATGGTGGAATCTAGTGTGAGCAGCTGAGTAGCTGCCTTAGGGAATATGGTCTGCTTCCTGTATATAAGCAGAAGCCTTCGGGAATGGCACACATTTATGGCATGCTTGGACCCTACATGTAGCCATGTCATTGTTCAGCAACCTACCATGCTCTGCTGACCTTAGGACTTACAATGGACTTGAATTAATGGCCTGCCGTGTGGTTTGGTAACATTGGGACTGTGGATTTTTATTTTTTGACCTTGGGCTTATTAGCCTCAGCAGCCAGTAGCTGCCTGAATGAAGAAATGCCTCTAGCTTCAATAAGCCGGGAGCTGGAGTCAAAGGTGAAGCCCAAGGCTGAGGGGCTTTCACCCAGCCCCTAGAGCCTGGCACTTTGAACTGGACTTAAAGCCTCCAAACTGTAAGAGAATAAACTCCTGTTTGTTTAGGCCATCCTATTTGTGGTATATTCTTGTCAGAGCAGCACTAGGTAACCAGAACACGTATACTTTTCCTATCTCTGTGCTGGTCACAGGAAGGCAAACTTCATCTGTTAAAATTCTATCTGCCCTTTAACATGCTTCTCAAACATAACCTGCTTCTCAGATCCCTCCCTGAAGCACCATTGGAATATTCACTCATTCCTTTCGTTCTTTCCAAAAATAATCATTGAGCACTGCAGAGTTCCAATTCTTAGGTTAATTACATGGAGTACAGCAAGTACAAAAAGAACAATGACCCCTGTCCCCAAGGATTTAGTCTTTGGAGGAGCGCAGACATTGGCAAATACTTGCACAAATCAATGTAAAATAATAGCTGCTGTGGATGCTATGGGAGCTCTGGTGGCGGTGATGTAGTGCCTAAGGCATCTGACTGCTAACCAGAAGGCTGGCAGTCCAAACCCACCAGCCAGTCCTCAGGAGGAAGACTGGGCACTCTACTTCCATAGAGATACCACCTCAGAAGCCCCAGGAGGGGTCACTAGGAGTCAGAACTGACTCGATGGCAGTGAGTTTGGTTTTTGGTTTTGGTGGAAGCTATATTGGAAGGTGCACAACACTATAAAGCATATAAAAGATTGGACCTAGTCAGGGGTTTCAGGGAAGGTGTCCCCAGGTAAGTGATTCTTGAATAGGGATGTGAAGAATGAGTAGACTCTTAAGTAGGCAAAGAGAGAAAGGATGATGATTAAATATTGATCCATGGACAGTGTGTGCAAAGGCCCTGTTGTTGGAACAGCAAACTTATTCAACTCCTATTTGCTGGTGTTGGAGATACAGTAGGGAATGTGGGCCATGGACAGGCTGGAAAGAAAACTAGTGTAGCAGTAGTACAGAGTGATGGGGAGTGGGTGGGCATAAGGCATGAGAGGTAGGCAAATCAGCTGTTCCATGATTTGGCCCAGGATGCCTCAGCAACAGAAAGACTTTGGTCTCTGTCTTGGGAGCAAAGGAGTGTCTTTAAAGAGTTTTAAACAGGGATTGGTGATGGCTGGACAAGAGAGTTGTCAGATCCCTCTGTTGAAACCCCAGCATGATGTCTGATTCACTTTATCCACTGGGTCACACCACCATGCATAGGAGTGATCCTCCACAACAGACCTCAGTGAATATCACCTGAGCATGTCCCTGCTTACCCTATATCTGTTAATGACACCCATTCTGGCACTTGGGACACCGAAATCCTCACCCTCTCAGGAATGTCCAATGGATCACTGAGTCCGGTGTCTTCTCTCCCATCATCTCTTGCCCTTCATCTTCCAGATGATTTTCAGCCTTAGACATTTTTTGCCCAGACTGACAACGGTCTCCTGATGTGTCTCCCTGCCAGCGGCTCACCTTATCCACTCAGTGCTGCCAGATGAATCACTCAGAAACAGCCTTCATCACGCCACTCTCCTCCCCAAGAACAATCAGGGCTTACTGTGGCACAGACACAAAAAAGTCTAAACTCCTTAGCCTTGCCATCACGTTTCTTAATGTTTCTTGCCCCAATCCACCTTCCTATCTGCACTCCTTGAAAGCCATATGATCAACTTGCAGGGCCCTGTGTGCTCTTCATGCTT